CCCAATAAATTTTTACATTTTGTTGCCTTGGTCCTTTTACTTTAAATATTGTCGGGGGAATTCTACCCAAATTTATTACTTTTTTATGAAATTTTTTTCAGCCACAGTATTGACTTTCTCTTCGGTTTAAACTTTCGAAAACTTACTATTTTCCTTATGGGATTTAAAAGAGTATTGCAAGTATGGGCGGGAGGAAGCACAAAGCCACAAGATTGGGTATCTTTCATGACCAAAATGTGTAAATATCCTGGGGGCAACTTTTGGGGTTTTTTTAGAAAGGGGGGGTTTTTCTTGTAGCCTTTTCCCTGGTGTTTTTTGACCCCGGTTTTCCGAATTAAAACTCCCAAACATGCGGGATTACCCGTGCCCAAAGGGAGCCATGGCGCTAGCAAAAGTTAGTACCTTAAAAGGGTTTTTACATATGAGTTTGTAGTTTGCCCGGGAGTCAAAATACTAAAACCTATGGGGTTTTTTCTAGTGGTGTCTAAATCTTTGAATTAGATCCTGGGGCCCCTGGGGGTCCGGGGGGGTTTGGAAAAACTCTCGAAATCATCAAGAGTATTAGTGGATAAAAAAATATTATGAAAATATTTTTTAATTTTTTTTATCCCAAAACCCCCACCGACAAAAAAAGAAAAATTAAAAGTTTTAAAAATTTGGGTATCTTTACTTTGTATATGGGTTTACCATTTCCCCGTGGCTTTATCGTGCCCGTACAGAAGGGCTGGACAGAGATAAAATGATAGGTAATTTAGTCGGGGAATGGGGATAGAAGATGGGTAATTTAGTCGGAGGGGATAGAAGATGGGTAATAAATCGGAGAGAAAAGAAGATGAGGTAATTTAGTCGGAGAGATTGAAAAAAAGAGGGGGAAACAGTCGGAGGTAGAAGATGAGGTTTCAGTCGGAAGATAGAAGATGAGGTAAAACAGTCGGGAGAAAAAGAAGATTTTTGGTAATCAGTCGGAGAGATAGAAGATGAGGTTTTTCAGTCGGGAGTTTGAAGATGAGGTAATCAGTCGGGGGGGGGGGGAAAGGGGGAAAATAGAAAAATGAGGTAATCTGGGGGGGAGAGGAAACTGGGAGATAGAAGTTTAGGGGGAATCAGTGGGGAGATGGGAAAATTTGGGGAAACCCGTGGAGAGATGAAGATGAGGTTTAAACAGTCGGAAAAGGGTGAAGATGAGGTAAAACAGCGGAGGGGATAGAAAAATGAGGTTAAACAGTCGAAAAGAATAGAAGAAAGAGGTTTAAACAGTCGGGAGATGAAAATGAGGTAATTTAGTCGGGGGAAAATAAAAAGATGAAAGGGAAACGTGGGGAAAAGATAGGGAAGATGGGAGGTAATCAGTCGGGGGAGATAGAAGATGAAAGGGAACATCGGAGAGATAGGAAAATGAGGTAATCAGTCAAGTAAAAGAGGTTCAGTCCAGAATGGAAAATGAAGGGAACCCCCTTCTCCTTTGAAGGGTGGTTCCTTTTTTTTTAATTAAAGTAAAAATGGTCAGAAAAAACCATGATCCCGGTAGGGACTGTTCCCTTTTTTTTAATTTTTAACGATTTTTTAAAACCCCTTTTGGGTTTTGGCCCCAAAAAATCTACAAAAAGGGGGGCCCCCCGGAGTTGCACTTTTGTTTTTTTTTAAATTTTTTTAAAATCTTTTTTTATTTGTTTTCCCTTTCCTTAAAAGGGTTTAGCACCTTGAAAATTTGTACTTGACCGGGAAAAAGGGGGGCCCCAAAACTTGACCCAAAAGACCGGGCCCTTCTTTTGGGTTTTAAATTTTTGGAAATTGTTTGTATAACGTTGGGTTTTTTTTTGGGTTCCGTAATGGGCCAAGCTTTTTGGGTTTAATTCAAAAATTTTGTACAGGCTTTTAATAATTAAATTTTGGGCCCCTTTTGTCCTTCCTTAAACAAAAGGTTAGGGGGCCGGTTAAATACCCTTTCATTATGGGGGTTTTGGGGGCCAAAATTTGACAATTTTTTTAACCTTTTTTGGTTACCCCAACAAAAAGGTTTTGGGGGTTATTTGTGGGGGTTAAAAATTGGTGGAAAAAAGTTGGAAATTCCTCGATGACGCACTGACTTTCTTGGGTTATCCTGGGTGCTAACCCTCCGGGGTTAAAAAAATCTGAACGAAATCTTATCTTATCTCTTAAAAATGGCAGAGCAGCGGTAAAAGCACTGAACATAATGAACAATGGCTCAATTGAAAGCCAACAAAAATATGGAACAACAAAAATAGGTACACATGGGGCCTTCCTATATATAAAAAGATTTTTATCTGCTTATCATATTTCTTCGTGTTCATATTTGTTTTTATTTTCAGATTCTGAAGAAAAATCCACGTGAAGTTGGACAAATGATTGTTGAGAATGTAGCTCCGGGTCCCATGATAGAAAAGATGGATATGTCTGGCCCAGGCTTCATCAACATTGTCCTCAGTCAAGAGTTTATAAGACAGCAGGTTAGACCAACACTAATAAAAAGAAGAAAGGCACAATACCATGACTGGAACAACACACAGATAGTGTAATAATGTTGGTAGAATTACCGACAATATGTTAGGCAAAAGGACACAAGTACAACTAATGTGACATTTTATTGTGGCAACGTTTCATTCTCCAGGAGCTTTGTCAAGGTCCTGGAGAGTGAAACGTTGCCACAGTAAAATGTCACATTAGTTGCACTTGTGTCCTTTTACCTAACAATACACAAATAACCTGCCACATAAGGGAAAGAAACTTATGACAGCATTTCGGTCCAACTTGGACCATTAACTAGTAACACACGGACTAGTAAATGGTCCAAGTGGGACTGAAACGTCACAAATTTGTTTCTCCTATGTGTGGGTTATTTGTGTTTACCTGGAGTTTACCTGGAGAGAGTTCCGGAGGTCAACGCCCCCGCGGCCCGGTCTGTGACCAGGCCTCCTGGTGGATCAGAGCCTGATCAACCAGGCTATTACTGCTGGCTGCACGCAAACCAACGTACGAGCAACCAACAAGCTAATGTAATATCGTGAGATCTCTTAATACAGTGGTCCCTCACTTTTCGTAGTTCTCGGCAGTCGTAAATTTCGCCAATCATAGGGGTATTTTCGTATAAACATGGACTCGCTTTTCATAGGTTGACTCGCGAATAGTAGTTTGTCCGGGACGCGTACGCACGGTGTGAGCCGGGGCGGCCTCCCTACCCAGGTTTTCCC